GTAGGCAGAACTCCAGGATGTGGGACCCGGAGGATCCCCATTTTTAAAAACCTGGTTACAGGCAGAGGAAGAGCTCAAGACTCCGATCCTCTCTTTGTCTGCACAAACCCACAGGGGGAACTTGTGGTCCCCAAAACTAGAACCCCTGATTTCTAGATTTAAACTTTAACTATTGAAATGGCCCATTTCTTCCCGACTTCCAATGAAACCATTCCATTTACTTTCACGCAAATCTCCCTTGCGGGTACGACGGATTCCTTCCCCCCATGTATTTCCCACCTGCCTCCTCAGCTTCCCTGCTGTATTTATGTTTGTCAGGGCACTCTTCTCTCTGGGGCCAGGGAGCAGCCTGAGCACTGGTGGCAGGAAGGGCAGCGGCAGAAAAATCTGGGCCAGAGGTTTTGGGGGAGGTGAGGCAGAGGGAGGGAAGACGTGGTTTTGGAGGAGAATAAAGCTCTGTCCCCATGCAGGAAGGCCTCTGCCATTGCATCACTAGGTCTCCCTGCAGCCCCCTTTGCATGCTCGCCTTCCCTTAAAACCTGCTCTGCCTCACCTTTGGCCTGCTCCGCGCTTAATGAAACCAGCGGGGCCTGGGCCAAAGCAGCCGGGGGGTGCTGCAGGCTTGACATGCAATAGGCCCGGGTGGGTGGGTGGGAGAGAAACAGAGGCTCTAACGGCGGGACAGGCGGTGCCCTCCTTCTGCGCTGCTGGCTGGTCCAGCACAGACTGGCAGAGAAAGAGAGGCAGCCCATCCTCTGCCTCCTCTTGCAAAGAGACTCAGTAGCCCTCCAGGACAGTAGCCCTCCAGGACAGTAGCCCTCCAGCCCTCTCTCTCTCCCTTCCTCCTCCTCCTCCTCCTCCTCCTCCTCGGCTTAGGAACCTGCATCTCCGCTCTCCCACTTCCAGGCTGCAAAGCAGACAGTAGGCCGATATGCTTGGGTTTTGGTGCCTCAACTCGCCGAAGGAAGCTCGGCTCCTACAGCGACCCTGGATCACTTTTTTTCAATCCAGGTTTTAAAATAAATAAATAAATCAGGGAGGAGGGGCACAAAACGGAATACCTAGGCAAAGCCCTTGCTTTGCGGGTAAGGATTTCGAGATGAGCTCCCAAGCAGAGAGAAGGAGCCTTAGGGAAGAAACGAGTTGGCTTCTCTGCTTTGCTTTTAAATGTACCCATAGGTGTGCGTTTCTCCGTTTTCTTCCCTATTGCTGGTATGAGGCTTTCGCTGGAGGATGGATGGCTTTTCTGGGGCTTGTTATTCCTCTGCCATCTTCCTTGCCTCTTAGTGTCCCCCTGCCACCATCCCCGCCTCTTAGCACCCCCCTGCCGCCACCGCTGGCCTCTTAGCACCCCCCTATGTCATCCTACTGCCCCTAGGGGGTGGTACCACCCACTTTGGGAACCACTGGTCTAGACTGGTCTTATGGAACTCACATTTTGACAGCTTGCATTCAGACATTTACTCAGTACTTGAAGTACTAGTTTTACATGTTCTTCCATCATTTCAGAATAGATGAGAATGTCATCAAGATACACTAGTATCCCATTGTATAGGGGCTCATGCAACACTTTTTTTATTAGTTGCATGAAGACAGCAGGGGCTCTCTGTAGTCCAAAAGACATCACCCTAAATTGGTAGCATCCTAAAGGACAGATAAAGATGATCTTCCATTTGTTGCCTTCTTTAATTCTTAATCGATAGTATGCCTCCCATACATCCAATGGTGAATATGTTCCCTTTGGTTAAGTATCTCAACATGTCTTTCATGAATGGGAGCAGGTATATATTCTCCATGCACATGCTATTTATCCCTCAGAAATCCACACACAATCTCAGCGACCCTACCCTTTTTCTCCTTGAATAGCACATGGATTGGTACTTGGGATGTCATGGGCTGGATGAACCCCCTGGCCAGGTTTTAGTCTCTCAACTCCCTCATCTCATTCAGGGTCATCAAATACATTTTGGGTTTGGAGAGTTTCACCCCTGGTAAGATCTCAATTGCATAGCCTGTGGGGTGATGGGGGGAGCAGGACATTGCATTCCTTCCCATTGAACACCTCTGCTAAGTCCCGGTATTCCTTGGGGATGGTCTCCACTTCTGGCACCAACCCAGAGGCCGCTTTTGTGCGCTCAAGGCCTTCCCTCTTTTCTCTCTGCTGGTTGGGCTTGCCCTGCTTCCTCCTCTGGGGGGGGGGGATCCCTCTCCCGGCTATCATTATGTATCTCTCGCCCTTTGCCAAATGTACCATGAGGCTCCACTTGGTCAGGCAATATAACCCTAGTATCATAGCCTCTGCCGTTTTTGGAGCTACCACAAACCATGGTTTCTCTTTGGTCTCTTAAATTCAAGCACACCAGCTCTGTTAGGTAGGAGGCGGACAGTCCACCTATTATGGAGCCATTGACCTGCTTGAATTTCATGGGGTGTTGCAGCTTCCTCACTTGCAATCCCAACTTTCCTACTGTCTGCGGGCTGACTAAGCATCAGGTACACCCTGTGTCTATTACAGCTTTTGTAACTCCATCCCCAAATGGGGTACTATGATCTACACTTGGGCTGAAAAGGGGGTGATGGTTCCACTTACTATCATGTCATCTTCCCCCTCACTGTTGCTCTCGTAGAAGGTGAGTTGGGGACCTTCCATGGTTGGAGTTCCCTCTCCTTCATTGACTGGTGGGGAGACCTCTATGACTTGGTGAGCACTCACAACTTCCCTTTCTTGGGCAGCTTCCTCAGCTTTGATGGGCTTGGGGTCTTCAGAGTCGACATTAGTATTGGCGCCAGACAGACTGCAACTCTGTGGCCCTCTTGGTCACATCGGAAGCATGAACTGGGTCTGCACCTCAGGGCCTCGAAAGGGGCAGGAGCTGGAATGATAGGGGGCTTCCGCTCCAGTGGACACCTCTCTTGGCTCTTCCTTTGACAGCCCTTGGTTCCTCTTGTATTCCACTAGACCCAACTCCATGCTTGTCTCCAGCTAGTAACAGTTGTGGATTCGCTCTGGTATTCTGCAGGGTAAGCGCATAGGATATAACTCCCAGTTCAGGCCATCTCGGAAGTTGTAGACTGCTTGATGGCCTGGATCTCAGATTCCGCCCGCCAGACTTGGATTCTGCCTGCCCGTAGTATCTCTAAACCGGGATCTGAGCTCCCCCAAGAAGGCATTGCTGTCCCTCAACTCAGGAGCCCCTTCACCATGGAGATTCATCACCCATTCTGTGGCCTCTCCCTCCAGATTCGCCACAATGGCGTTCATGTACGCCATATCATCGAAATAAGTCAGTCTACATCAATCCAGGTGAGTCCACACTTGGTTCAGGAGGAAAGCCAACTTCTCTGGACTCCCATTGAATGTGCACTTGATCAGCAGGGCCCAGGGTGCCCCAATACCCCTACAGCCATCCCACACCATAAAGGAATGGCCTGGGCTGAGCGCCCATAGCTGCAAGTTGCACTTGAGGCTGGCCGGCAATCCCCTTTGGCTGAGCTGCCCCCCATTGGAACCTGACAGCATCTTGCTCTGGAGCTGGCCCCATTGGGGAGCATTAGTCCCTGGGGGATGGTTTCCCCCAGGGCCACAGCTCCCCCCATTCTTAGCTAGGGTTGAGGCAGTCATATTGTCATATTGGCACAGGCTGGTGAAAACCAATTCTGAATATTCCTGCAGTTTTCACCTAATTAAAAATAAAAGTTTGTCACTTTCTCAAAACAATCAGTCACATGGTCCAATCAGGATACTGTTCATTTGCTAGATGACTCCAGTCCCCTCCCTCCAAGCACCTGCAGGAATGTCCTTGGTTCCCACAAGAAAACATTTGTTTTGGCTACAACACCCTTTCTCAATTCCCCCCTCCTTAGCCGTCTTCTTTGGTGTGTCAGTTCTGACATCCCAAAATGGCCTCTGTCAGGCCAGCTTCAGGGCTGACAGGAGTTGGGAGGATTGCTGAGGGTTAACCAGATCCTGCTCCAGAAACTTGGGCCAATTGCTGCACCATCTCTCCTCCCAGCATCTCCATTCTGATGAACCTCTCTCAGTTGTTCAACCAATGAGCTGCGGCACACTGCCAGGTATCTCCACTCCACTGGTTCTTCCCACTCCATTGCTCTTTCCATCTCAAGCCCTGGGTGAGTGCTACTCCAGGGGAAAGCAGCATGAACTCGGCTTCAGGCGTCTTTGGCACCACACCCTACCACAGCTCTTTGCCGATCTGACAGGGCCCCACAGCTGCCATGGCCTGCTCCTGTGCTGCTGGTTGCTTGGTCTTCTCTGCTCGTCCCTTTGAATGGGTCACCACTGTCTGGGTACCAGAGTTCGCCTGGCCTGATGCCTAGGTCTCTTTTGCCGGGCCAATCCTGAACTTGGCTGCTTTGCTCTCCTTTACATTCCATCCCAGATATTTTCCCCTGGGCCTCCATGGCTCTTTCGGAGGTGACTGAACAGGCTGTGGAAGACCAGGAATCTTTTGTCTTCTTGACTTTTGCAGAGCTGGTCAAACTTCCGACTAATGAACCCAACCACAGCAAACATGATCAAGAGCTTCCAATCTCCGAATGCAAAACCCTACTGAGTACATCATTTTGGTGTTGATGAAGTCAAAACCAGCTCTACCTAATTTCTGCACAAAGCCATAAAATGATAGTATAGATTTTTCCCTAGCATCTTCTTAAGGGGATTTTTTTGATGGAGCAAGTGTCAGGATTGTATGTTGATTCTGAGGCTTCAACAGTTCAGAAGGTTGCTAAAGCAGAGTGGGGGCAAATTAAAACCTTTTTTATGCCTCCCCATTTCTTAAACACTTCATTAATTTTTAAATTGAAGAGAAGTTTCACAGCTACGTATTTGTGTGTACCAAAAATATGAAAACTCTTATGTTCATCAGTTCAACAGTTCATTTAAAGGGAAATTAGAGTCAGGTATTTCAATCCATAGGGTCCTAATGAGATGTGAGTGTGTGTGAGGGGTCTTTCCTTCTTTAAAGCACAAAGATGTGGGTCAATAATAGAGTGATGTGGAAGTGGGTCATGGCTGCAACAGGGCATTTCTTCAGAGGAGATTTGTTTTTTGCAGGGGAGTTGCAAAATAAGAAATAAAAACCTAATTATTGTATTTTTGAGATTATAAGACCGTCCCCTCAAAACAGGGCGAAAATTTGGGTGCGTCTTATACACCTAATGTAGCCCCACCCACCCACTGCCCCCCACCCATCGGACATTTTCTGGCCTCTGCACATCACGTTTTAGACCTGATCAAGGCTGCAGGGATTGCCACAGAACATTGCTGCCTCCATGCCTTGCATTTTCAGCCTCCTGAAGCTCTGTTTCAGACCACTTCAAGGCTGCGGGGATCACCAGAGCACATCGCCACTGCCTGGAACCGCCCAAAAACACGACGTGCAGAGGCTAAAAACATGAGGCACGGAGGCGGCAATGATCTGTGGCAATCCCTGCAGCCTGGAACAGTTGATTGAGGATGGCTGATCCACCCACCAATCAGCTGCTCGTGCTGAATCAGGCTGCTGAAGCTGACCTATTTGCTATTTGCTGCAATGATGTGTCAGAGTTTGCAGTAGCAATCACATCCAGAAAGCACACACAAGTAAATGATTCAGCAGGATTCAATAACTTCTCTTTATATATAATGTAAATAAAGTAAAGTAAATATACAATACCAAAAGCAGATTTTCCAATGTGGTAGTAAATGCAAGCAAAACATAAGCAGAGGAGAGGAGTTTAACTTCAGTTTCAGAGCTGCAGACTAGTTTGCAGCTTTTGTACAGAAGTTAACCTAAGCCACACCCAGGCTTCTTGTTGATATCCTTGTTGCTCACACAGCAAATACTGTTTCAGTTTCCAAACAGCCCTCATTGGCTGACTTACTTGCTATGCCTATTCATTAGCTGACCTTGTTACGATGTCTTTCAAGTCATGCACTCTCTTACACACTGTAGGATGCTAGCCAGATAAATACCGATGGATGCTGTAGGCAGCGGCAGATTTTTTTTTATTTTCCTCCCCAAAAAGAAAGGTGCATCTTATACTCTGGAGTGTCTTATACTCCGAAAAATACAGTAATACTTTAGCTTTGTTCTTCCCCTCCCCACTTTTCCTCCAAGGTCCAGAGGGACAGCCGGGACTTGCTCTGGGCACCCGGCTGAGCATCGATGCTTTGGCCAAGCACACCTCGAATGGCAGCCAGCAGAGCTCCGAGTCCAAGACAGGGCCCCTCTCCAACATTTCCCGGGGCTACCGAGGAAGCACTGCCACGGCCAAAGGAAAGTTGGAAAGCCATTTGTCCCTGAAACAGCAGCAGCAGCAGCAGCAGCAACAGCAGCAGCAACAACAACAGCAGCAGCAGCAACAGCAGCCGGATCAGCCTGGATCCCAGGTGAAAAATCCATCAGGCCCAGTTCCATGAACAGATACTGACTATAATTGGACCAGCAACTCCATTGAGAACTGGCACAGTCATTAAATGAATCTTTGGGAACTTATTGAGCATGACATCCTGTGACTGCACCTTAACCTTGCTTGCCAGGTTCACTTCTCTGAGGCACTGTTGGGAATGAGCCCTGGTTGCCATATGCCTGAAGCACAATCGAGTGAATGCAGATATGTTGCACCCGTAACAAGTTTGAAGTCTGGTCATAAGTCTCTTTCAGCTCCATTGTAACTTCAAATGGTTGCTGAATGAGTACTCAGTAAGCAAGGCCTGCCTGTATGACAGTTCACTAAGTAGTAGAAATACCTCCAAATACCAGCTCTCAGTTGAAACTTCATCTTCTCCCCCCCCCCCCCCCCCCGCAATTTGAAATAGATAGTTAGGTCAGCTGTGCTTAAGGATTAAAGTGCTGGTTGACAGACTGAATGACATCTAAATACCAACAATTACTTTGTAGAAGTTTTCTTTTATTCATCTATCAAGTGATTGGAACATTTCCTGGTTTAGTCTTTTTTCTAAATTCCTTTCTGACTTTTTTGGGACTCCTTACTATGTCTGATATATAATGTCTGCCAGTGAGAGGTACTTTACATTCATTCCATCAGTCCATTGGTGTCCTTGCACACCAACACAAATTTTTTTTGAAAAAAGTCTAGTAAAATCAGCAAGTCTGGTCAACCTTATTCTTTGTGGATGCTTCTTAATTTAGATTTTCTTATTCCAGAATTTAATTTCTCAATTCTACATTTAGATTTGATAGCCAATTATGAAAAGGCTTAATTTTTTTAGTCTTTAAAATTTAAATGTGTCTTTAAATTTATGATTTCAAATCCCCTGGGATTGCAGTTTCTAACCTGATTCCTGCCATCCTATTTTCAAATGCTTTCATTGATTTTTAGCCTTTACACTTCTACTTTCTCCTTTTTTCATTTCTAAAAGCAGTAAAACAATTGGTTAACAGTTTTAATCGTTTTCCCCTCCAAATCCTATAATTAATTTGGAAAAGGATATGTTTAATATGCTTAATATCTTCTACATTTGAAGTACATTACAACACTGCTTCATCTGTGTCCCCACTTCCGCATTCCTTTCTTTGAGGGCCTTTCTGAAATATTGTTCTTCTATAACCAAAAGAGAAAAAGTAATAAATCATTAAGATAGCATCTTGTAATATATGGCAAAACAGATACTATGGCAAAGTAAAATGTTTAGTTGTTAACTACAAAAAGTGAATTTCCACACTTTTTAACGTTAGTTCCTAACTGGTCTGTTAATTTTCCAACTGCCTTCCCAGGTACCCTCCAGCCCTATTCCCAGCGCCCCCCTCCAGCGACGCCTGAGTGTCAGTGCCAGTGGAATTGGGGATTATGGTCTGATGAGTTGCGTGCTTCCAGATGAGCTTTTGGTGGAGATTCTTTCAGAGAGGATGCAGGTAATTGCAGCCGGAAGGAGAAACCAAGGGGAGTGTCAGGCACGATAACTCATAGAAATATTTGTAAATTACCAAGTGAACATTTCCAGTTTATTTAGACATATGGATGCAGCTTTATTTATTATAAAAATATTTCCTATTTCATTGCTTTGCTTTACTTAGAGGATAGTTGAATGTCTATGGATATTCTCAATCATCTAGGTCATGGTTGTCCAAAAGATGCTTTTTTAAGAAGCAACTGGATTTTCTGTCATTTTTTTGAAGACATTTTGCTTCTCATCCAAGAAGCTTCTTCAGCTCTGAATAGATGGTGGGGAATGGAAGGATTTATACTCTTTGCAGACAGCTGTCATTTGTATTCTTTGACAAGTCATTAAGGTCATCATAAGGTTTATCTGTGTCATCAGGGTCACCTGAGTGATGCAAATGGGTGGGAGGCCTTCTTGGAAATGTCGAAAGGTCTGTGTTGTAGGTTGGAGATAGATGATGTCACATCCCTCCCCCTCTGTTGAGAGACCGCAGTTCTAGTTTGACATAGATGGCCTCTTTGACCCCTCTTTCAAACCAAAGGTTCTCTCTGTCCAAAATGTGGACTTTGCTGTCTTCAAAAGAGTGGCCTTTGTCTTTTAAAGGCAGAGGGACTGCTGAATCTAGTCCAGATGGGTTTGTTCTCCTTTGTTGTGTCATGCGTTTTTTTTATATATAAATTTTATTTTGCTTGTACAAACTTTACATCTTTGCAACACATTACATTTTTTTACCTATCTGTTGTGTCTGTTTTATCTCTACCAATACATTGTGAAGCTGACCTAATTAATTTACAAGCCTTGAGACAAAGTTCAAAAAAACCCCATTCATTTATTAGGACTAGCATTAGGACTTCTGTGGAGCTGAAACTAAATCCCACTTAATGGCGTCTGAACTTTACCCCTGTGTCCCCTCCTCTCTGCCTGACATCATCAATCACATTTGCCAACAGGACATTGCAGCAGGGTTCTGGACATGTACATTCACCATATCCCAGTTACAAGTATATGAGACTTTACTCTAGCCAGAAGTATACATGGAATTTTCCTCCCTTCTAAAGTTGTTAGTAGTCATGGAAATGCTTTAGACATTGACATCTGGCTCCCCTCACTTCCTGAAAGCGACCTGTGTAAAACAAAGCAATTTGAGTACAAAGGTATAACTGAGGGTTGTGTCCCTCCCCCAGGCTTGCTTGGATTTTCTACATGGAATTTTGCTATAAGGCGATCAGCCTGGATATTTCAACCTAAGATGCCTCTGATAAGGGATAGCCCTTCCACTTGATTAAGTATTGGAGTTGTTTCCTGTGCCACCTTGAATCCAGGATTCATTGAACTTCATAATGGGTTTGGCCCCCTATGACCATAGGGCCTGGGGGCTCCCGGGGTAATGGTCTCAGATTGGATGCAATCACAGGTTTTAAGAGGCTACTATGAAATGCTGGGTGTATCCTCCCCAACAATCGAGGCAGTTTCAATTGCACTGTGACTGGGTTGATGATCTATGGGGAATGGTCCCATAAACACCGGCCCCAGTTTCTTGCTAGGCAGTTTTAATCTCAAATATTTTGTGGAGAGGTAAACCTTCTCTCCCACCCGGAATGGCCATTGGGGAGCCCGCTGTTTATCTGCCTGTTTCTTATAGGTTTGTGCTGCTTTAGTCTGTGCCTTTTTGACATTTTCCCAGGTCGCTTTCAGCATCGACATCCAATCAGCCAAGTTGACTGAGGAGGGGGGATCCTTTAGATACTCAGGCATTGGGATGAAGTCCATACCGCTCACTATTTTGAATAGCATGAGTGTCAAGGCGGGCTCCCTCAGTAACCAAGAAAGAAACCACTCAACTCTATTTTGCAGAATTAAGAGTACTTTTACTGGTCATGAGTAGATAGCAGCTAAGTAAAGCAAGATCTGAGGCAAACGTGCGTGTAATCATAGATATCAATATGTGACCCAACCCTCTCCCCCTGGTAATCCCATCCCATAGTCCAATCCACACATCCCACAGATGTCATGTGGAAGACATCTTCAAAAAGCATCATCAGGTTGGCATGCCGGACAGTTGGCCTTGACGGCAAATTCTCTATCTGCAGCATGCGCAGTAGATGGTGAGAACAACTCCCTTTTTACAGTCACTCTTGTACTGATACTTCCCCACCCAAATACCATGTCCCTCCTCCCCGTTTCAATGGCAGATGAAAGCAAGCAGCAAAACAGAGGCTGACATCGAGTCTTGTGCTACTGTGAACAGCATTATTATATGCAACCTCAGTAAAAGATAAAATGTCTGCCCAATTGGACTGCTGATAGTTCACGTAGCACCTCAGGTACTACTCCACCATGGCATTCAGTCTCTCTGCTGCCCCATTGGTGCTAGGATGAAAAGCTGAACTAAGACCCTGAGATGATCAAATGGACCGCAGGAACTCCCTCTAGAACTTAGCCGTGAACTGGACCCCTCTTTTCTGAGATAATGCTTCGAGGTACTCCATGCAGTTGGTAAATATGCTTCAGGAACAGTTTAGCCAGCTTGTGAGCCGAGGGTAGTCCGCTA